GTCTCCTGCAGCCTCGGCTGGTTAAGCCTGTCTTTGGTGAGTCTCACCATGTCCCCTGCATGAACTCAGCAGAGCATTGATCAGTTTGTCCTGTTTGCATTTGTTTTTTTTCTCAGACTTCAGTGGTCCCTCTCTCTCTCTCTCACCACACACCACACACACACACACATACACCAAACAAACACACACACACACACACACACACACACACACGCACGCACCCACAGTCACTTGAAAGCAGTGCATCATAAATCTCTAATAGATTGCGTAAATTTAATTACATTATCGACTGCAAAACATCAGACAATGTGCGTTGTGTGTACGCTAATTTAAATTATAAATATTGTTTAGAAATATTCAATATTAATCTATGCTATAATATTTTTACTAATTTTTGATAGTTTAATTCAGTTGATTTGGCACGAAAATGAAAATCAATCAATAAAATCAAATTAAATCAAATAAAAAATGTAATTACATTTAAATTATTTAAATGAACTATTAAGTTAATTAAGTTAAATTAAAAAGTAAATACAATGAAATTTGCATTCATCAAATTTTGTCAAAATGCAATAACAGAAAGACAATGACTGATACTTTAATGATTCTGTCCTGCATAAACCTGTCACCTAATTTAAGCACAACACCATAAAGAAGCTTTTTCTAATGCAGACATTGCCTGCAAAATAATAAATCCAAACTACAGCCGACACATTAACTTATGGGCTATACATTTTACATCTTAATGCACTATATTCAAGCCCTAGTAAAGAAGAAAAAGCCATAAATCAGAATGTTAACAGGCTTCTGGCAGCTGCTACCGTCAGATCCTTGATACTTTTAGAGGCTCGAGTGACAGAAGCCACTGAAAGGTTGAGCTTCCAGTAGAAAATGTGTGCAAGTTTACTTTAAAGAAGAGCATTAAACACTGAAATGAAACTGTGGAAGAGAAGTCGTGTAGATGAAGAGTAAATGGAGAAAGAAATGTGCAAAAATAAAGCCCAAAGCATGTGGCTGAGCAAATCAAGTCAGCATAGTAAAAATAATATGATGAGATGAATGGCTTAAAGGAATAGTTCACCCAAAAATGCACTTTATGTCGTTATTTACTCATGTCGTTATTTTTTTCTGTGGAACACAAAAGGAGAATTTGTGGTGAATCTTTTCCATACAATAAATAGTTAATGGCTGTCAAGCTCCATAAAAGGGAACAAAAACCACTAAAGGTAGTCCATATGGCTTGTACAATTTATTCTGAAGTCGTATGATAGCTTTATGTGATATACAGACTGAAAGCAAGTCATTAATATACACTTTGTTATCTTTATATGGTGTGTTTTGTTCACTCAGTGTAAATCTGGCATGAATGTGGACCAGGACACTTCCAAATACATTCCCACTCACTTCCTCTATGTTTCCATAGCAACCAAGTACAAACCTGGAGCTTTTCATTTGAGTATTTTCTTATGAAGCAAATGCTATATCTCCCTTTTCCACTCACAAACACACATACTATACCTGGGTTATTACTGTTGACTAAAACTAAAACCAAAACTATTTCAAATATTTTTGTTAATTGAAGTAAAGATTAAATAAAATCAAATATACATATTAGTTGAAAAACATAAACTAAACAAAATGAGATATTTTGCCTTGGTGACTAACTGAAATAAATAGAAGCACTAAAATTACAAACTGGAACTAAATATTAAAACTGAACTAAAACTAAAAAGAAAATCAATCAATCAATAAAAATAAACCTAAATAGTAATATTCTTATGTACAGATCTTGCTTCCATTGAAACCCAAGATCAGTGTTATTGTTAACTATAAAAAAAAAAAAATTGCTTTCAGTAATTGAAATAAAACTGAAATAAAATATACATTTTAGATGAAAAACTTAAACTTTAAAAACGTACAAAACTAACTGAATAACTAAATAAGTTTACTAAAAATAAAAGTGAAATAAAAATAAACTGAATGTAGTAAATTAAAAAAGGAGAGAAAATGACTAAAATTAAACTAAAATTAAAATGAGAACTAAAAATATAAAAATGGAAAGCCAATTCAAAATATTAATAAACACTCTAATGTTATATAAATAATCCTAAAATAACACAGAAACTGAAAAACTGTCTTTTCTCATAAAGAGCACAGGATTCATGGTTCCCATTATATTTTTCCATTTCCTGGCAACTGTAAATAGACGACAGTTAATGAACTGTATTATTTTGTGTCATGAACATCCCTTACCGGTGATACATTCACTGTATCGGCTTCATGTGGCTAATTGCTTTGTGTTAAAGTGAGATTATAGTCAAAATCCCCAGAGGAACATTCACTCAAAAGCCTTCCTTCATTTTGGTCTGTCTTTAGTATAATCATCTTGACCTGTTTTTCTAGATTGTGTCATTCTTTATTTTCTGTCTTAATTGATTTTGTCTGAGATTAATTAAACAATAATCTGAGTAAAATATATACAGTATAACATCAGTGTGTTGTATAGCTGATCGTTCATGCTATTTTATATTTTATCAAAACAAAAATCATCAATTTGAAGTATTGCATTGCTAAAAACAATGTTTTGTGATTAATTTAATACAGATGTCCATATATAAATTTAATGATTTCTGAATCAATGCCTGAACAACAGTGTGAATGGAGTTAAGTGTTTATGCATTTCTGCCTGTCGTCTACATCTATGTGGGATGCTTCATTTATAATTTAACAGCATGTGAATGTTATTGCTCCCAGAATGCCTTTCTACAGCCTATAGAGAAGTCTATTTACTGCAACCGTCAAGCAGGAGATACTGTATATGTCTAAGCCAGCTATTATGCCTGAAACACACTCTACAGATGCTTCAACTATGCAAGCCTGATTTCATGCATCATCTACATGTGTCAGAGCACAATTCAGAAGACAAATGCATTCTGCAATGGGCACTGTAGCAGGCATTAGCATAAACTGTCATTTGCATGGCCATTTTTCATCATTTGAAGAAAATCATGGTACAAGAGAAAGTGGCACAACCGTTTAAGGAATTCTCTCCAAATGTGTGTCTTGCGTTAATGTAAGTCTCATGAGCCTTAAATACACACAATGCCATAAGTAACACTAAAAATAACAGCTTGCTGTTGCTTGAGACTGATTTGTGAGTCTTTTGTTCATAAGAGTTGAACTACACAGATCACGCTGTATGATGTTATTGCGTTCAGTAATAAGGACTAAATAGGGATGATTTTCTACATCTAAACATGACCAAATATCATTAAAAAAATCTACATCTACAACTGTTCTCAATTTTTTCATAAAAGAATTTAAAAAATTGTTTAGGTTTTTTTTTTCAGATTTGCTTACTACCGCCAACTCTTGAATATTAATAAATGTGTGAATGTCTATTACTTCATTTTGGGGTTTCATGCATAAAATATGATTGCAATAAATTTTCACATATAGTACTAAGACTCTGCTCTCACTGTAGCAATACACTACAACCAGTTTTGTTCATCACACAACATGTAGGCAAGGAGGAGGTTATATGCATGAAAATTTTATCTGGGGCACCATAAGTTGTACTGGACTCACTGCTGGTGGGCGAGTTTCTCACACGTCATCCGTCCAAATGGCTTCATAACCACGTCCTCTTACATCCAGAAATAGAGTTTACATATAATGTGTGTGAAATAGTGATTTCTAAACATTAAAGAAGAGAAACAACAGCACTCTCTGAAGCACACGGTACTCATTCAGCAAACCTGGGAACACTTGAACATTAACACTCACACAAACGCCTACACATTATAACTACTGGTCAATATGGAGCAGTTTTATTTACAGAAGAGAAATAGGGTCCATATAAGAATCTAAATAGCTACTGTATAAAATATCTAAAGATTAAAGCTATTATATTTCATAATTTTACTCAATATATATTTATAACATACACCATGAGTCAAATGTTGGGAATAATTCAAATGTTTTAATGTATTTGAAATAAGGCTCACCAAGGCTGCATTGCGTGATCAAAATCAGTAAACACAGTAAAAACAGTGAAATATTATTATAATTTAAAATAAGCGTTTTCTATTTGAATATATTTTAAAATGTAATATATTCCTGATGCAAAGCTGAATTATCAGCAGTCTTCAGTGTCACATGATCCTTCAGAAATAATTTATTATATTTATATTTAGCAAACTAAACTATCATTAAACTCTTCATTTAGTTACATATGAATATTATAACACTCACAAATTAAAATACTGTCATTTACTTACCCTAAAGTCCTTCCAAACCTGCATGCTGTTATTGTTTCTATGGGACTTTCATCTTAATGCAGCTCTTTTGCACTGATGAATCACATACAATAAGACCACGAATGTGCATAACCGTAAAACCTAAAACGTCGCTACCGTATTTTTTACGGTAAAATTCCAGCAACCACAGCTACCGTTTTTTTACCGTAAATTTTACAGAATTTTTTTTACAGTGTACATAAATAAAATGTTTTAATTTCATAGATTTTCTCTACTGAAAACCATTTGGACAGAGTGTAAAATTCTTGTCAGATAGAAAAAACACTTGAGCTCACTTTAACTATCCAATCCCCAGACTGCTATCAAGACCAACCAAAAAAGAAAGATTAACTGCATGAACTGACTGGAATCCTCTTTGTTTTTCTCAGACAGCTTGGCTGCTCCAGTGAACGTGTCCATCAGAGATCTAAAGGGCAGCTCTGCTGTGGTGACATGGGACATCCCAGATGGGGAGCCAGTCATTGGCTTCGCCATCACACAACAGGTACTCAAAATGAGAGAGAGAGAGAGAGAGAGAGAGAGAGAGAGGGAGAGAGAGGGGAGGGAGGAGAGGTCACAT